TCAATCGGGAGAATTCCTGTGAGTATGTAGACTGCTGGATCAGGGCATCTTGTTGGCATCAAGTGGCTTACTGGATGGGGTTAGTAGTTCCCTTCCGTAGAGTAGCACGGGAAGTATATACGTCTTGTAGATGTGCAGTAGCGACTCAGGGTCCAAGCCATTATGTCCATGAAAACCAGATCCAAGTAGACTGTATGCACTCCTTATTGCCTTTGTTATATTTTCGTTGGTGTTACTTTGTATGTTGTTCTTCCGAGTTGTAGTTCTGATGATCCCAAGGTGTGTAGACTGCTCAACATTAGGCATAGGTGTGTTTCCCATCATCAGGTTATCTTTTTCCAGTTTGGTGTTATTGCTGTTACCGCTTATTTTAATTACTACACTTTTCTTTGGCTGCAGCTGGTATCCTTCTGAGTTGGCAAAGTCAAGGGCCATGTTGACCATAATTTGAGCATCAGTTGATTGTGTACTCAATATTGCGACATCGTCTGCACATCCGGTGTTGTTTGTGTTGACATTCCCTATAGTCATGCCGTAGGTTGTATTTTGGAAGTGGTCTAACAGAGGGTTGATGTATAACTTGTACAGGTCTGTACTCAGTATGCCTCCTTGCCTGACACCCATGCCTACTGTGAAACGCTCTGATGTTTTTCCGGACCATTTTATGCTACTTTCTGCATTTTGATGCAGACTCTTAATGATTGTCCATGTCCTGTCTTGAATCCCAGCATGATACATCCTGCGGAATAGATGTGAGTGCACCACAGTGTCAAAGGCAGCTTTTGCGTCCAGCAAGACAAGATAACCGTTTTGCTTATTGTCGGTGAGAATTCGGTACATTTCCTCCACAGGTAGGGCTGCATTCATAGGGGAGGATCCTTTGGTGAATCCTCTTTGAGTTGGGTTTTGCACCTTTTGCACTTTTGGTTGTATCCGGTCTCTAACGATGGCCTCTATTATCTTGCTCACTACGGGTAAAATAGTTATCCCTCGGTAGTTTAATGCATCATTTTTGCTGCCTTTGTTCTTAAATATAGGAGAAAGCAGTCCTATTTTCAGAATTTTTGGTATATCTCCTTCTGAAAATATAATGTTAATGAGTTGAAAGAGGGCGGACAACATATTTTCTCCAGCATATATGAAATGTTCAATAGTTATATTGTGGTAGTCTGCAGATGTTTTCCTATTTATTGTAGATATAGCTTTGTGGACTTCATTTTCTATGACAGGGCGTATCGATTCTTGGTCTACCATTTTGCAGATATTGCTTATTTCCATTTCCACTTGGAAGTGGTACTCAGGGTTGCTGAAGGCCTCTTCTTTAAGTGTAGACTGGGTACAGAAGTGTTCCTTGAATCCCTCTATGACTTTATCTCCCGAGAATATCTCTCCGCTAACGTTTATATCCTGTATGTGATCAATTCCCTTCCTACGGTTCTTTTGGCTTTTAACTAGCTGTCAGTAACTGCGAGTACTCTCAAATCGTACTTTCTTGTTTATTTGACCTGTTGATACTAAATGTATTGCTTTTTTGTTATTTAATGTTATTCAGGGTTATATCTGGTCTATATACCAGCTTTAATAAGTGTTTGGTATTACTATAAATTTTCACGTCGTACTATGAACATCAAAATTATTTATTTTGTAAAAATATGTCCTTTCTCTATTGGAACTATACACGTATACCTAACAACAAAATTATTTTCATTTACCTGTGTTTAAAGTTATTGCAAATGACTGATATTTTTGTTCGAGCATATTGTTTTTCTTTAATTATTTAACCTTTCATACCGATATAACATGTTACTTTTATTATTCTTCCCTTAGTTTATTTATTTTGTATTTACATTGTATCATAGGTCAAATTTATTTGTTCAGTGTATGTTCAATGGTGTTAATATGTCCTTTGATTGAGTTAAGCTATTTCAGTTGATATTTTATAGTGTGTCTTTCTATGTTGTGATGTTACACTATTGTTTCAGAAAAAGGGTGAAGGTTTGGTACCATTAAAACGTTTAAACTCGCTGCATTTGTTTGCACCTGTCCTAAGTCAGGAATCTGATGTTCAGTAGTTGTCGTTTGTTGATGTGGTTCATAAGTGTTTCTTGTTTCTCGTTTTTTATATAGATTAGACCGTTGGTTTTCCCGTTTGAATGGTTTTACATTAGTAATTTTTGGGGCCCTTTATAGCTTACTGTTCGGTGTGAGCCAATGCTCCGTGTTGAAGACCGTACTGTGACCTATAATGGTTTACTTTTATAAATTTTGACTTGGATGGAGAGTTGTCTCATTGGCACTCATGCCACATCTTCTTATATCTATGTCTAAATTTCTGAGGAACCTGAATCATACATAAAACACACTATTTGCATTTTTTCCAAAGGGGGAGACAACCATACAAAAAAAATAGAATTTAAGGCTTTTTTAGTTCTGAGAGTTTGTTTTGAATCAACTACCAACAGATTCTTTTTCATGGTGGCTTTCCTTTATGGTAAAAAAAAGGGTTGAAGGTTAGATGTCAACGATACAGCAATTAAAGAACACATCAAAACTACAAAAAGACATTTTACTGATTTTATGGAACAGACCACAGCTTTAACTACTACTATACATGAATTTTACCTCAGACTTCCCTTTCTCATTTTCAATTCACCGTTTTAGAAACTAATTTATTCTTGGTAATATTTTCAAATCATACACCAAGACATTGTGATTGGTCAACTACATCCAAAACAATGGACATTCAGCCGATGATGCAGGGCTTCCAAAACGTATTTTCTGAACTTGTCCGGCAAATTACTTTCTCGACTTGTTGTGTCGAGCCTGAAACGGACATATTACGCATTTTAACATTATTCAGAAAAAAATTGAAGTTCATGCAATCTTTTTGACCTGAACTTTTGCCTTAAACAGCCACACATTTCCAGTCATTAACGTGACATGATGAATAAGTACTATCAAAACAAACCCTACTTTAATACCCTTCATTACAATCAAGGTTAATTAGTTGTCTGACAGCTGAAATTTACCAGGCTACGTAAACTATTTTGAACCAGTCATTGAGCAGTCTATATAAAGTCTTTTTTTTTTTTTTAATTTCAGCGGTTTGCATCCAATTAATTTAGTCAAAAAGATTTAAATTATCAGAAATATGTATTTAATTATGATTTGATGAAAAATTTAACGAGGTAGTAATAAATGTTTTAAAGAAAAATCGTCAGGACCACGTTGTTTGAACTAGTAGAACACATGTGAGCATGTGTGCAGGTGCGAGATTTAATTATGCATCCGAATTCTTTAAAAATGCAAAAATTATCATTGATACCTTTATCTAACATTCATTTCAAGTATTATTTTTTTTGAAGAAATAACGTGGAAAGAGCTACTTAAACTCAATCGTGCTTTGTAAGCGTACACAGATTTTATTTATCCAATTCTAGTCTGAAATTAGTCACAGTCCTATAGATTTTGTAACAGTGAAACAGCCTGAAAACTATTCTTAACGCATAATTTATATTTTAAACCTGATTACCAGCAATGAAATTTATCTTGCCTTAAACTAATGAAGTTCACATTGGAACATTCTACGTACATTTTTTTTACAAATAAATAAACTACATATATATACAAGATAGTTGTTGTTTGTATAGACACAGATACTGACATTGGAAAACGATGCCCATAACAGATTCTTCAAAAAAATGTAAAAATAGCATCTACTAGACACTAATATAATCTTGATAAATATACATAATACTTGAAATAAGTGTACTATATTCATGTAAAATCAACAACAAAAACATTCATTAGTAAAACTTCATAAGTACAGCATATCTAAGTGCAAAATGTTGCACCTTAATCATCTATCATAGTGCTTAATCACAACAACAAAATGTAAAGACATGCCAACATTCAAGGTCAAGTCGATGTACTCGGAAACTTAAAACAACTTAAATAAAATAGGAATTATTATGGACTCATTTCATACTGGTCAGACAATTAACATTCTTATGTACATATACATATTAATTACGGTGTAGATAAATGTTATCTATATCTGTCTTGGTTAACCAATTAAATCATAGCTATTTCTTTTTAAGTTATCAGAATATTTCAGGAAATCTAAGGTACCTCTATCAATCCTGATATGGTATTGCTTTAGAGCAAATTCTCATGTAAAAATTATATGTTTAACACTTCTGATTTGTTATTGTAACGTCAAACCCATTTAGCCACTCGGTTTGAAATAAACACAACATTATACTTATCCACCAATGGCAGAGAGTAACCTCAGCTTGACCATTGCACCAATAATATTTGGTAAAATTCTTATTCAGCTCTTTCAACAGAGAAAGAAGACACTGTGAAATAAAGATATTATTTTGGAACATATGGAAATATTTTCTTGAGAATTATTCGAAATTGGTTCCAAAATTTGATTTAAAATGATGTGGATACTTTTACCAAGCTCTCTTGGATGATGGTATTGCCAATACTTGACTTCAATTTCTAAAACAGAATAATATAGTACTAACATCAGACAAAACAGTTTTGTCTTTGAAAATAAAAAAGTTAGAAAATATACTAGTATCGTCGCCTATGGAGAAAAAAAACACTCTCTATTGTTCTCCGTTTCATTGGCTAATATGTGGATTTTTTTATCGACCACAACCGGAACTCTATAGTATTTTTCTTTTTCTTTTCTGTAATCAAGTAGCTTATTGATGATGTTTTATTGATTGGTTTGCACTTATGTGGAAAAATGACTCTTTTTTGTCTTGTATAGACTTTTGTTTATTTTTCATTCTCACAGGAAATCCATAATTAGAGCAAGCACATTTCATGTCAAGGCTGTTAATTACCCATTTATATTAAGTATTATCTTTGAATTTTATATATCTCCCCAAAAGAGGCGTGGTTTGAGAAACAGCTGTATTTACAAAGTGCAACCTATAAATAGAAATTACTTTGATATCGCATCATATGTAACTAACTGTAACTATAGTATTTTAACATATATGCACTATTACTTTAAGGTTGATCTTTTCATTCTACATTTGATTATATCAGGTGAGTCAATTAATTTTAAAATGCACACGATCATATTAAATAAAAAATTTGTGGTTTATCCACGGCGTTACTCTATTAATCCTTGTGATTTATCTGAATAAGGAAACCATCTGTTGATTATATTGAAAGCGTCTGATTTTGTATTTCTAAAAAACGAAAGTAAAAGTAAAAGTATTTTATGCAAATTGACAAATTATTGTGTTTGCAAGTTTTACTATTTTAAAGCAATGACGGTCAATGAAGGTGGTGAAAAAAACTTTGTAATATGAATTCAATACACAAAGTCCATTCGGAGACTTTAAGGGGCACTGACTACGATTTTTACAATATATATAAGGTTTCTCAGATATTTAACATTTCTATTGTATGGAGTATGGAGTGTTGCGCCTCACAATATCATAAATTTATTGTCAGCAGTAAAATTATGTGGTTTTAGGAAGTTTTTATTTTTTTTTATTTCATAACGACCTATTAATTGTATTTGATAATTTTCGGAAAATGGATGAGATGAACCTGAAGTTGAAATTTGAAGGATGATTTTCGTGGCTGAAAACAATGGCAAGAACGGAATTATATAAAAAATATTCGCCATAAGTGTTCAGTTTGATACAATTTCGTAAAAATAAGGGATCAAAGTAAAAAAACATCACTGATACATTATTGACCTGCAATACAATAGTTTCATCTCATCTGAATGTATATGCATGCGAACTTCAGATTTAACCTCAGTTGGAGACGACTGCGCATGTGCCCAGTAAGTTTAGCTATAAAAAAAAAAGGTCAACTAAAAAGATCAAACTTAGATCAAAATGGTAGATCGTTGACTGTGTAACGTGTATACTGGGTAAGCGTGTCTATCTTTATTATAGAAAAGGTTCGTTTCCAGTTTTATACTGGATCCAAAATGTTCTATTTACAAATACTAAGATTATCTAGCAAGTAAACTTTATTTCATAAAATAATATGAACGAACTAAAATATGTACAACTGCTCTTGCTATAACAGCTACCGGTAAATGTATTTATTCAAGCATTCCACTTCCAGAATATGCAACTGATACAAATGTGCACAAATACCAATTTGTCTCTGATAACGTACACACTTGTCCTAATGGTTTAGATTGGTACCCAACGAGCTATCAATAGCAGGCACCAATCTTGACCTTGTTGCACAACGATTCAATTCCATATTCCAATCTCCAATAATCCTGGGACAGTATTATGGCCATCGTTTTTGTAGACTTACAGCAGAATGACTTTAGTGTGTAGGTCAAAACAGCATCTTTGTTATCTTCCTTGCTAGCTCAACCATGAAATCATTATTACTTTACAAGCAGGAGGAACAAAGCGCCATTCAATCATTGAAAGGTTTACCTAGACTACTTTGCAAATGAAATTTCCTTTCTGATAGTCTTTCATCGAAGTAAAAAAATCTTTTTCTTATGATAAATAAATAACGGAGGAACAGGTCTTTTGATTTTTTTACGGCGTGAATAGGCAGTTGTAATCTAAGTGTCTTTTGGTGTATTCCCAACGTATGGAAAAAATGTTTTACTCTATGTATCTTTCCATATGAATATTTTTTTTCAAAATAAAATCTTTTATATTCACATAGGAATGAAACAAAATCATACTGCTTAATACCATGCACAGTTATGGACTTGTTATTCGCTACTTTCTGGTCCTGATTGAAACTCGATGGGGAGTTGATTACACAAACTGGTACAATCTTTTGTAAACTTTACTGAAAAATTACTTCCAAAGTCTGGAAATGGGGGAAATGTCAATTCTTTGAACCCCAGGATTGAGTATATGTATGTCGCCCATGAATAGATCAAAGTGAAATCGACTTAATGTTTACATAAGTTACGAAAGTTATCCGTATCATGGTTTATCGATAATCGAATACTTAAAGGATTTTTGTGTAATCGATTAATGATCCATTACTCATATTTTTGTGTGTAATTGATTGCAATCGATTGCTTTATCAAAAGTATGCATTGCATTTCGATTACTGTCAATTGCATCCTACAAAATAGAGAAAAAAAATAACTGAAGAAAGTTAAACACAATTAAACTGCTCAACATGTTTATAGAGGACATTTAGAACTCTACAAATACATCATTACACTTTTTCTGAAATAAAATATATGGCAAGAGTTGACCTTTCTTCAAGATATTGATGATTGTTTTCCTCTGTATGTCCCCCTTACTGGCCTTTGTCAAAGAATGCAGATTATAATGATTAATTTAAAGTAAAGTATCCATTCATTCCAAGAATGCCTCGAATTTCTTTTGTTAAGCATTATTGGGAGGTTATATCTATTCTGATATAGCTCATTGCGATTTTTGTTTTGATTTTGTTTTTAAAGTTGAATAATTTGTCAAGTTAACTTTTAAGATTAAATTTTCAAATTAAATACAGGTATTTTTTCATGTTTTTGTTTGGATAATCACCATATTTTGTTTGGATAATCTTCTTAATGCCAGGTTATAAAGCTTATAACCTAAGGAAATACAATGTAAAGTTGACAATAAATAAACATAATTTAAATCAAAACAAAAGATTCCTTTCTTTGATCATCTAATCTGTAAGGATAAAAAGGCAATTGAGAATTTTTTATTCTCTATTTAGAATTTAGTGTCAAATTCAAATGGGATAAATGTGCAATATATCTATAACAATATTGGAATGTCAATACAGTCGACCGTTGTCAGAAGGACTTTGTATTCTTTCATAATCTTTATGTCATAAAATAATGAAAATCAAAAGTTCATCTTTTCTAACTATAAGCTATATTGTAAAATGAATCTAAAATTCAAAATCAAATCCTATTGAGAATCAGTATTTTTATAGCATTTTCTAACATTTAAAACTAATCATTAACAAACACATTGTACATTTTTAAAATAAGTCAGTTAATCCCATGTAAAATTCCTTTCTTTTTCATATACTAAAAATATCAAGTGATGAAAATCATTTGTTGCAAAAGCTGGATATAGTGTAAAATTTGTTGATAAATCTGATTGAAAATAAGGCAGATTTTGGACAACAGATCTGAATAAGGCACTTTGATAGAACGCTCAAGTCATAATGTATACATACTTTTTGATTCAGCCATGCTGATCTATGTGATCACTCCGGATTTTGGGATCGTGCAGACTTCTCAGTTCAAGACATATCCTGAAACTAATTAACTGTTGTTATGACTTTCACTTATACACTATTTTAATAATCTATTGCCAACTTTTACATGTTATTTGCCCTTAAATAAAGAAAATATTGGTCGAATAGCTACTTCATTTAAATATACACTTACATATAGTTCCTTTATAAATCAAAATTTATAATAAATTACTATTTATGAATTAATGTGAAAAGGTAATATATCATATCTAATCAGTTGATAAGAATTATGAAAGTATTTTATCAGTATCTGATGCTTGTGTAAGTTATGGAATAAAGTTTGGTACAAGATGCGTATTGATATCAAAGTTGAATCCCACACTTTTTGAAATGTTATTATTCCAATTCTTTCCTGATGCAAGTAAGAGTACTGTAACAAAATAGTATGATAGACAACTGTCATTATTTACAAACAATTTCATTCAAAGGTGTGAGTAATTTTTGGAATCACCTCCTCTTTAATTCCAAACTTAATTGACCACAGTTTATATCTCTTGTATTACATAATTGAATGCACACCTTATTATACAGCTCAATGTATATCTTAATGAACAATTTATTGTCAATTGATTGACCTCAATTATAGTATACCTATAACCAGTTTTGATCTACACTGCATATAATTATTCTGTAAATTATGTCTCAAAGATGAATGATTAAGGATTAAAAAGATGCATTTTTTACAAAGAAAAGACAAAAAACAAAATGTGTATAAAAATGCAAGCAGGGTCTATTTTACTTAAAATCAGTGTTATAATAATCTGGTATTAGTCAATAATTTAGGTTAATTTAAGTTACAATTATCATAAATTACTGAAAACAATAAACAAATATACAGAACTCTAACCTAGGCATTGTCTGCAATGATATGTATTTGTTTTTGTTTTTTTTCCATTATATTGCTACTTAACAGGTATTTGTACATGTATTTGAATACAGGAATGTTTTTTTTTCTCAATGAAGAATGAACACCAATTCGAATAAAAATTAGTTATTTAATTTTTGTTGTTGAAAATGAGCTTTTTGGAAATTATCAAGTCAAACTTCAATGACAAAAATATGCTATACCTTCGTTTGAAGATTTGTTTATCCAATCAGGCCAAAAATATTAAATTGAAAGACAAGATATTAAAATAGTATTCCTTCTATAAGTTGATAAATCAAAAGAATTTGTATCAATATTGTGAAATTCTCCACCTTTGGGATTTGAATGCATTTGTTTAGTAATAATATGGAAATGAAATAAACTGTTCATCTTCAGTGTCATATAATTTTTATCAAAACTCAATAAATGATCCTAAGATGAGTTAGAAAAATTACATACTTATGTTTAGACATAGAAATACTCCCAAAAGCAATCATTTACGAGTAAATTTTTTTTTAAACTAATGATTGTTGGTTGTCTCTTGGTTTTTCTCTGTTAAATGTATTTAAACACAAGATAACATTTTGGGCTAAAATACCTTATCCAATCTTGTGATGGATGTCTCTATATAAATGTCTTACAGAAGATAAAAATATTAAGAAGATGTGGTATGATTTGAAATAATACAACTTACCAACACAGACCAAATGACATAGAAGTTTACAACTATAGGACACTGTACGACCTTTAACAATGAGCAAAACCTATACCGCATAGTCAGCTATAAAAGGCCCCGAAATGACAAATGTAAAACAATTCAAACGAGAAAATTAACGACCTGATTTATGTAAAAAAAACAATGAACGAAAAACAAATATGAAATACAGCAAAAAACTACAACCACTGAATTACAGGCTCCTGACTTGGGACTAACAAATACAGATTGTGG